CTGTATCCTTTATGTCATTTCCTTTATTGTTTATGTGTCCATATGCAAAATGTGATGCGTTCATCTGCAGCTGGCTAACTTAGTCTTCCACAAAGACTAAAAACAGGATCAAACAGCTACACAAATCAAAGTGCGAAAACAGCAAATCAACAGTTTTGGAGGGTGTTATGTATCAGACTATTTCTTGGCTGAGCAGTTTCCCAGCAACCAGTGGTGACTCCGGGAGATTATTGTTCCCAACCAAGTATTCCCAATAAAACAGCAGTTTGCTTTTTTTTTTTTTTTTTTTACAATTAGGTATTTGTAAAGAAACTAGCAGCTTCTCAGATGTGACTTTTGTTGCCACTGGAGAGCGCCAGGTAAACTGTGTTCAGTTAATTATTTATTTACATAATTAACAGGCTGTTACGGGGGTCAAGGAATTTTCTTTGACTCCCATAACAGCCATAATATCCCGGTCTCCTTAAGTGCTTTCCCCATTTCCTCAATTATCCAAAACAATTCACACCCTAATGCTAACCTTAAATTTAACTCACGTTATAGTTGGCATCAGTTGGCTAATGCTAGTGTTCAAGATTACTTATGTATACATAAAAAGATATAATGTTCTTCACGTGATGTGCTTGAAAGCAGTCCGATCAGATTCTCTTGAACAATCTGGGTTCACTTTTGTCATAATCATAGCCTGTATATAAAAGATGGATATAAACACTGTGATTAATGTAGTTATGAAGCTTCAAACTGGCAGAGGTCGGTATTTCATAAACCTACACCACAAGCCAGGGGAGGCTCTGATTGACGCTTGTTTTATGGTACCACGGGATTGGCCATTTGCATAGGTATGCACCTGTGGAGAGCCTTCAGAGAGAGGTTTTCAACCTACAAAAAACGCACAGTATTCCAAAAACCGAACAGCATGTAACTGTTGAATGCTAAATGCTGATTGGCTGTGATAGTGGAGCTTAAAAAGAACAGGAGCAGCGTGGAAAAAACATCAGAAATGAAATGATACAGTATTAAAAGTACAGAGAGTGGCAGCACTGGACACTTTTCACTGTTTTTAAAACTCTGTTTCAGTTCATCACTTTACATGTTAGAACTTCTCTCTTCTCTGGGGCTGGCAACATCACAAGCAAGACTAGAAAAAAGTCTTGGTTTGGACACTGCCTACATCTAGCATCAGATGCTCTCTGCAGGTAGAAGGGCTGACGGTTGTACCCTATGGTCTGCCAGTCGATTGCCAACAGATAGCCATGTTCAGCCTACAAGAAATCAAAGGATAACACATATTTCTTGCCTAGCAGCTTGTCAGTAACACAGTAAAGCATGCCCTGCTTTATCCTTGTTTTGGCTTTGTTGTTTTTGTTGTTATTTTAATGTAATGTGACCATATTTATGTACAAGAAGAAAACCAGTGACTGAGATCAGGAATGTGTTTACTGAGGTCACAGATATGGCAGCTCAGTAGCTCTGCTAGAAGTCAGAGAAAGTGCAGGTTAAATGCGTTGGCTAGTTCCAGCCATCTTTTATATACAGTGTATGGTTATGAGACATTTGTAACCTGTTTACAGTCTATGTGCTGAACTCATGAAAGTGATGAAATTAAAAAAGACACTTTAAACAGAATAAATGTAACTTTAACAACACTTAAGAATATTTATTTGTTATAATTAAATATCTTTCATAATTATTTAAATTAGTGTTCTGTAATGAGTTGTCACCTGACATTTCAGAGGAGGATGAAAATTAAACAGTAATCACAGCGAAGAATAAATATGTGCTGACATGTTGCACTATATATTTTTTAGACTTTCCTGTATCACTTGGCTGTATCTGACTTTCAAATTTTACTGGCTTTGACAACAGCAACTTTCTTTTTCAGTGCAATAAAAAAAAACTGAGCATATTTCTATTTGCAGTTTACAAAAACAATTTCCTTTCTTGTTTTCTCAAAACTGAGGCATTATTTGAAATTAAGGTTAGACATGAAGTGCTCTGTTCTTCCCGTCTCCTGGAAAAATTGTGATCAGACTCTAAATTTGAAAACTGCTGATAACTTTTATGTGTCCTTTGTCAGAATATATAAATAGTTTTTGAGCTACTGTAGTCTGATGAGTAAAAAATGTCACAATTCAGACAGAAGAAAAGGTTATATTTAGAACGGAGGGGAGGGAGAGCAGCAGCTGTGGTGTAAGATATCTGAAAATGGAAAGTGCTCCCAGGGGTGATGGCGCTTATTCTCTTCACTTTAATTATTTATTTTTCCTCTATATACTGCAGACGACAGCATCATCGGGGCAAAGATCACCCTCTGTGAGGGCCACTGACGTCCTTTTGGCTCCCAGTGATAATGAATGTGTCTAAACTAGTCAGCTTTGGCCTTTGATCCTTGGATCATCATGATTCTCTGAAGTCTGTCTATAATACAGACCCATATAATTTTTACTCAACAGTATAAAATGTGAAATATACATAATAGCATCTGAATAACAATTTCAGTTTGTGTTTGACAAAAAAAAAAAAAACTTCTTAGAACTTCCTATTCTTAGAATCAAGTTTGACACTTAGAAGAACAGTTTTTACTCATCTACATATAAACCAATATTTTACACAACTCTTTTAGTCATTTCTGGTGAAGAAATGACAATATTTAGCCAGACTGTTAATGCCTCTTGAACAGGAGGGGCATACTCTTTTGAGGTGGTGACTACAGCATGAGCTGCTTTATGAAACTGCCTTCTCCATGTGCCTTGTAAACAACACTTCCTCTGGGACTGAGAAGGCAATCACAGGTGAGAAATCACTGGCAACATTGACAGCTGAAGTCCTGAGACGTCAAGCCTTTGGATAGGTAATAAAGTGATTAGTCTTAGAGTCAGAAAAAAAGAAAAGAAAAAAAGGAGCAGGGGTCAAAGGATTAATGATTGATTGTGGTGGTGGTGACTTACTCATGAGTGGAAAACAGATCCAAAAATAACTGCATAAAAAATGCCATATAATCCTGTCTGTCCGTGGAGGAATGTGTCTGATTTACCTGTTCTTTGCAGGGCTGAGAACATCACTGTTCTCATTAGAAACTGCTTCTGTGCTGTCTCATAGCAACCTAAAAATAGAAATGTCCCTATTAGGCTGTATAGCTGCGATGGCTGCTACAAGTTTTGGCTTCTTTAATTGTACTGTAAATATATAGGTGCAAAATATTTTTGCTCTCTCACATAATTTGTTGAGTACATGACAATGAGAGAAAGAAGCGCTGCAGATATGCATAAACATTAAATATTAACTAATGCTTTGTATCAAAGTGTCACTGCTTAAAAATATGATTTCTGCTTTTTAAAAAAAATGAAAATAAGAAAAGAAAGATAGCTGGTGAATATATCCTATTGGAATTCCCTGCAAGAAGCAGCGTGATGGTGGTCCAGGCACATTTTACAACTGAATTGTTTTCTCTGTGCCCTTTCATACATGGCAGACAGACAACCTGCCTTTATTCCTGTTCCACCCTGCAGAAAGATTAAATCGTATTTATAGCGCAGACTTACTATCTGAGGAAAATTCAAAAAGCAGCCTAAGCACTAGGCTCTAGGAGAAAAAGCAGCCTTCTCATCTTCATCACGTGTAGGCCAAACTGTGCCCACCGTTTTCATTTTCATACTGCTCTTTTGACATAATTAAAATAACACGCGCGCGCAGATCATTTGCATGTCTTTAGGAGGCAGCACTCGTTTTGTTTGTGTCCAGCAGATATAAAGACCGAGACAGAGGTTTTTCATCAGACGCAATTTATTTTGGTCGACTCTGACGTCAAGAGAATACACGTTTCATTCAACCAGCAAGAAAGTAAGTTATTTATAACCCGCAGCATCTCCAGGTTGTGATCCTTGAGTGCGCAGTGAAAGGAATACTCCCCATTGGACTGATGTGGTGTGCCTCCATAACAAAAGCCACACAGCTCATGCGTTATGGTGCCAGAGAGGCACGGCACACTGTAACCTAAACCAAGACGCATTGATGGGAACAGTCACGGCTGCAAAACAAAAAAGAAAATAGGATTATTGTGGAGAACTTCAACAAACTTTCTGTTTTGAATCTTTAATTTCGCCCTCGCAGATGGCAGAGCACTGGTTACTTTGAACATGGAAAATCTCCTCTTTGACCAGGTAAGGAAACAACTGTCACACAAACAATATTACACGTGAAGGTTAATTAATTCAACTTTACCTCGCTATCTTGTATCGGTGAAGGCGGAGGCTGTTAAATTAGATCGACAGCTTGTGTTGCATGTGAAATCAAATGTGTGTCTAATGTTGGCAAATTAATATTCAAACTGCAGATAAAATGTTTACATTTGGGATTTGAAGCAGAATAAGACGACGAACACCGCAACGTGTAATGGAGCGCGTCTTTCGAGCCAAGTTACCCAAAATGAGAACCGCGGACAGCGACTCTTTGAGCTTAGCGTGACGTTATTTAATGTCGCCAGTTAAAGAGCTTGAACAGATGTTTGGATCACTATTTGAAATTTATATAACAAACATCGCATTTACGCGCAGTCTCTCGTATATTCGTCCCAGAAAGGTGGAAAAATGATGTTTATGCTTACTTGTAGTGAATACTGGAGGCTTTTGTGTCAGTATCAGTATGTTGGGTGGGGGGTGGGGGGCACTGCTGTCTAGATAGAGGTTTAGAAAAAAAAAATCAACTTTGATTATGACATCATGACACATCTATCAGTAGTGTTTATGACTCTAACAGGTGTGTTACCACGCTGACTTCTGCATGGATATACGTGATCTTTGAGGACGTGCATGAGCATTTTAGGAAAACTGCCAATTTTTTGTACAACACTGATTCAATTTCAATAATTAAACAAACAATATATCCACTATATTTCACAGATCTATAAGAGTAAGTTTTATTTTTATTTTCTTTAGGTTGTAACAGACTGCCACCTGCTGGCAGTGATAACAAATAGAAAAGCAGACAAACAAAGTGGGTATTAATCACTCATTTTACTATGTAAGCTGAACTAATTCCACAAATTTGTTCAAAGGGCTGCGAGCTGTGAGTTCAGTACTGAGAAGATCTGTGATTGGCTGGGTAATGGCAGATATTCTGGAACTGCGGACAGATGGAAACTCACTCCTGAAGGCAGTGTGGCTCAGACGCTTGAGACTCACCAGGCTCTTGTTGGAAGGAGGTGCCTACATCAACGAGAGCAATGAACGTGGGGAAACACCTCTCATGGTGGCCTGCATGTCCACACACACCGACCAGCAGAGTGTAAGTAAGGCAAAGCTCGTAAAATATCTGCTGGACAACCAAGCGGACCCCAACATACAGGACAAAGGAGGTCGGACAGCTTTAATGCACGCCTGCATTCACAAGGCTGGACACAAAGTGGTGGATCACCTACTTAGCAACGGTGCTGATCCCAGCCTGGAAGACAGGAGCGGGGCCTCAGCGCTGGTCTATGCCATAAACGCAGATGACAAGGAGACACTTAAACTGCTCTTGGATGCATGCAAAGCTAAAGGCAAGGAGGTGATCATAATCACCACAGACAAGTCACCATCTGGCACTAAGACTACCAAACAGTATCTAAATGTCCCTCCATCACCAGAGCTGGTTGAGAGATCTTCCCCGGCGTACTGCACTTCTCCCTCTGATATTAACGTCACAGCATCGCCCTCACCTGAGCAAGAGCAACAAAACACAGTCTTCAGTTTCCAGACAAAGCTAAAAACCTCCAGCTCAGCTTCGAAACTTGCCAATGGGCCCACGTCGCCGACGCGGCGGCCTGCAAACCCCAAACGTGCACGTTTGCCTCAGCTGAAGCGGCTGCAATCAGAGCCTTGGGGGTTGATTGCACCCTCTGTCCTGGCTGCTGCTGCCGCCGCCGCCCATGATGAGAGTAAGAAAGCTAGTTCTGATGAGGATGTTGTTGCAGGGGTAAACGGACTCTCTCTGAGTAAGAGGTCGGCTTTATCTCGACAGAACAGTGTAGACGGGAAGGACAGCTTATTCCCACTAGTGGGAGAACAGCCCTGCAAAATGACCACCTCATTATCAGTTCCTCCAACATCTAAACCATCATATGAGAGAACGCTAGGCCAACACCAGCCACTGGCACGGCGCAGCACGGTGCCTACAGAGCAGGAGAGCAGCAGCTGCAGCAGTGGACTAGCCAGTCTGAGAGACACAATGCATAGGAGACACCTGGGGAATGATCACTATGACTCAGACTCACAGCTCTATTCAGACTCTGCCATGTTAGATTCTCCTAAGGTCCCGGTGGAGCGCAGGAAACTAAACACCTCTCCACTTGTGATGTTAACCAGCTCCAGAGAATCTCTAGACAGCAATGCCAGCACATCCTCTCCCAGCACAGCACGCAGGCGTGCACCTGGTCTCCTGGAGAGAAGAGGCTCAGGCACACTTCTGCTGGATCACATCTCCCACACCAGGCCTGGCCACCTCCCCCCTCTTAACATAAACCCAAACCCTCCCATTCCCGATATCGGGGCTAGCAACAAGCCCTCCTCACCTCTGGCCACAGGTATTAGATCTATAGCTCCAGTAGCACCAAACACACCAAAGAGAGGTGGCCTCAAGTTGAAGAAGAAACTTGTGAGAAGGCACTCTATGCAAGTGGAACAGATGAAACAGCTTTCTGATTTTGAAGAGCATTAGTTAGTTATGAAGTTTATGCAGCAAATATTGTGGAAGTAGAGATGTTAACACCATAGATTGTGAGGAAGTACATCCATAGTCTACACGAGTCATTTGTGTCATTTGTGTAGACTCAGAGCCATCTAGTTGTTGAATTATGTGTAATTAAAAAATATAGATATAGATATTAAAACTGAGCAATATAGGTAGATTTCCTCCCCGTGTCACACTCAACCTTAAGGATAACTATCTTTTGACTTCACAACATCTGCTGTATATGTTTTACAGTTTTGAATGTAAATGCCAAGATATGGTACTTTTCCTCTGAACTAGCTGATCATGTAACATTAAAGGAACACACAGGGTACATTTGTAGCTGGTGGCAGATAGGGTGCACTTTGTGCATATGTAATTAGCACCATAATGGACATTCTGTCTCACGAAAAAAAAGAAAAAAAGAAAAAGAAAAAAAAAAGGTGATGCATTTGTCTGAGATGTAGCTTTGGATAAGATGAAATTGGACTGTTTGTAGCAATTCTGTACAAAGTGCCTTTAAAAAGAAACTGAAAAAAGTGATGAGCAGATACAAATTTTGTATAAAGAAAACTTTAATTCATGGTGATGTAACCAACATGTGTTTTGTCTCAGCACTGCTGGTCTCACATGGATCAAAATGAAGACTCGTGATGAATACATAGGATGTGGATAAACAGTATGCCTTAAAAGACAGGTATAACAATGGGCTATGTATAAGAGCACTTTAATGCCCACGAGAAAGAAACTGAATACCACTATTAGCAGTGTTACAAAAAGCTAAAGCACATTCATATATAATTCTTATATGATAAACCCAAGCAACAATAAATGACATTTTAACCCTTAGTCCACACAGATATTGGTGAAACCCATCAATTAAAATGTCATTTCAAGCTAAAGGCAATCAATGCTAAAGATCATACAGCTTCCATGTAACTGACCTGTGAAGCATTGCTTCTGTTTAAGAAAAAACTTAATTTAATTCATAGTATTTTTCCAATTAGTTTGTTGTATATTCTAAATAAATGTCTATCACTTGTGAATTTCTGTCTTTTGTTCATTTGTTGTCCTTAAGCAGGAGCTCAGCTGCTACTAGCAGCGCAGATGTTCACTAGAAAGAGTACCAGTTCTTTCCTCAGGCCACCTGGCAGTCCAGTGGCACCGTGATGATGACAATCATCATCAAAATCATCATCATCGTCGCTGTGACTATGTCAGACCGACCACAGAGGCACTCAGCTCCCACAGCTTCTTGGCAGCTTCATCATCCAGACCCTGAGGGGCTGCTGTTTTAGGGGCGCAGTCGCTGTAATCAGTGCAGACTTTAGTGTTAAACACACAACTTGATCTGTTCATACTGAGTTGATTAAGTCACAAGAACAAGTTAATCAGTCAGATAAAAAAGGCAAGATATGCAATCAAAGGATAATTTACAAGGCAACAATGTCTTAATATTTTATACTGTTTTCTTAAAGATAATTATAGGAATTTAGATATTTATTAGTTATGTTATTACCCATATAATTTCATACAAAGACCAAAAGAGTCAGTTTTCACTTTATATACAAAAATAACATCAAGTAGAGCCAAACCGATATTTGTTATGTGGCGATATATCGGTATGGTTGACAACTAAAACCTCCAATTATGTTATAAATGTTGATGTTACACAGATATTCCACCAGATGGCACTCCGCAACTTCCCTGTTGGCATCGATAGGAGAAGTGTAAATGAGTAACCCATGACTTGTGGTGACAACAAAGCAACATTCCAAATATGGGTATTGGTCATAAAAGTCTAATATCAGTCAGGTTCTAGTATCAGCAGTTTAAATTAAGATTAAATCATATGCTTTGTAATTGCTAAAAAAAACTATTAAGGAAAATCTTAAAATGTTCTCATTTCAAACAAGAACACTCAGAAAACGGGACTTCCTTTAAAGGGCAAAGGCTATACTAAAACTTTGATGTTTTTAAATTATTATTATTATTATTATTATTATTATTATTATTATTATTATCATCATCATCATTTTATTACAACATCCTAATCTCAGCCTGTTATAGGTTCATTCTGACATCATAGGGTATCATAGTGGGGAAAAAAAAAGAGGTGTGTTGTAGAGCACTCTTCATGTTCCCTTTCATATGGAACATAATACTTATTATATTGTATTTTTTTCCAAGGTCAACTTTGACCTTGGGCACCAACAATAAAGGTCAAGGTCAAATGTTTAGCCAACCCAGGTACTCATGCCCACCAAGACTTTGTATATTGTTTGAAGTTGATCCATAAAACATTGGGGGTAATATAAAGTTTTTACTGATTTTCACATTTGGTACGACATTGACTCGATTTTCACCTAAATTAAATCAGCTCGAGCTGTTGTAGACTGCTAACAAACAGACAGACAAACAAACAAACAGAACAGATTACAGACTCGCTCACTTCAGGGGGAGAATTAATAAATACACAGACTGTGGAGAAACATCAAGACAATCTATTTTTAGGGAAAGCCCTGCTTATTTTAGCAAAACAGTTCTAGATGTGAGCATGACTCTTTAGTAGATAAATGCTAAACTGTTTGTTACACAGTGTGTTAGGTACAGTGTTAGGTACACAATAATACAATAAATGAATAGAATGATCTGGTCATTGTGATGTGAAGAGTTAATGGAAAGTGATCCTCATCAGGCCTCAGATACTTTAAAATGTGCTGCCAGCATTTATATATACCCTCCATATAAAACACCCAGCACGCCCCTGCGGGCGGTTTATCCTTCAAGCTCGGGTCCTCTACCAGAGGCCTGGGAGCTTGAGGGTTCTGCGCAGTATCTTAGCTGTTCCCAGGACTGCGCTCTTCTGGACAGAGATCTCCGATGTTATTCCCGGGATCTGCTGGAGCCACTCGCCTAGCTTGGGAGTCACTGCACCTAGTGCTCCGATTACCACGGGGACCACCGTTACCTTCACCCTCCACATCCTCTCGAGCTCTTCTCTGAGCCCTTGGTATTTCTCCAGCTTCTCGTGTTCCTTCTTCCTGATGTTGCTGTCATTCAGAACCGCTACATCGATCACTACGGCCGTCTTCTTCTGTTTGTCTACCACCACTATGTCCGGTTGGTTAGCCACCACCATTTTGTCCGTCTGTATCTGGAAGTCCCACAGGATCTTAGCTCGGTCATTCTCCACCACCCTTGGGGGCATCTCCCATTTTGACCTCGGGACTTCCAGGTTATACTCGGCACAGATGTTCCTGTACACTATGCCGGCCACTTGGTTATGGCGTTCCATGTATGCCTTGCCTGCTAGCATCTTGCACCCAGCTGTTATGTGCTGGATTGTCTCTGGGGCATCTTTACACAGCCTGCACCTGGGGTCTTGCCTGGTGTGATAGACCCCAGCCTCTATGGATCTTGTGCTCAGAGCTTGTTCTTGTGCTGCCATGATTAGTGCCTCTGTGCTGTCTTTCAGTCCAGCTTTGTCCAGCCACTGGTAGGATTTCTGGATATCAGCCACCTCCTCTATCTGCCGGTGGTACATACCGTGCAGGGGCCTGTCCTTCCATGATGGTTCCTCGTCTCCCTCCTCTTTCTTGGGTTTCTGCTGCCTGAGGTATTCACTGAGCACTCGGTCAGTTGGGGCCATCTTCCCAATATATATATATATATATACACACACACCCTCCACATCTTCTCGAGAGAAGAGCTCGAGAAGATGTGGAGGGTGAAGGTAACGGTGGTCCCAGTGGTAATCGGAGTATTAGGTGCAGCGACTCCCAAGCTAGGCGAGTGGCTCCAGCAGATCCCGGGAACAACTTCGGAGTTCTCTGTCCAGAAGAGCGCAGTCCTAGGAACAGCTAAGATACTGCGCAGGACCCTCAAGCCGCCAGGCCTCTGGTATATCTATCTATCTGTCTATCTATCTATGAATATAAATATGTGTGTGTGTGTGTGAGCATGCAATCAGCTCTTGCCATTTTTAAAATCTTGAACATATGCAGCACCACTTAAATGTCAGTCATTCACTGGTGAATGGCTGAAATGCCTGATAAGATAATGTCAGCAGTAATGAAATACTGGAAATCTGCAAAAGGTGGAAAGCTGTCAGTGTATTGCAGCTGGTTTGTGGCATTTATATTGACTGTGATTTTGTCTAGGCATTTTTTTTCTGGGCATGCACACTGACGCAGCGACCCTGCTGACATGATGATTCCTTTATTTATCATATGATCTTGACTTTCTGTCTCAAAAAGATTCCTTGTATCAGAATCTCATTTTATATTGTGCTAATCCACATTTTTATATTAGTGCTAAATTGCTACTATAGTATGCTTACAATGTAAAAGGGGTCGCTTGTAGTTGCAAATGAGTCACTCACCAAACACCCCTCACCTCTACAAAGCCTTTAAGTCTCCTTAGATAATTGCTCTGATTTTCCAACCCACAGTTCTGGTCTCATCAGCTAAGCTTTCACCTGTAGCACACAGCTATTTCCTGCATAAAAGCCTCGATGAGCCTGCTCTACACTGCTCTACCAGCCCAGAAACAAACAGATGACAGTTAATAGACCAGATTAGATGGTGTTCAGAATTTAGGATTCAGCAGCTAAAAACACAGAATTGTCCCCCAGGAGTAAGACCAGAGTTAAAATGAGAGTGAATAATTATTTAACATTCACGAAAAGGTTAAGTACACGACCCCAAATGAACGTTAATGTGTCTGCTCGTTATGTTTTAGATGTGTCCGTCTAATTCACTGGATTTGAATCAGTGTTCATGCTGACATCATTTACTGGACTTGGACAACATTTTTCATGCATAGAGGAATTATCATGCTGTGGAAAAACCCACAGCATGTTAACACATTAGGTTTTTAAACTGTTGTGTTAACTGGACTTAATTATATTCAACAAATCACAAGAACATTTATTTTACTGTACGCAGATCAACTGTGCTCCCTGTTGTCACCTTTAAAAGGCCCATTGAGAGGTTGGAGAATCCTACTAGACATGACTGACTGGCACTAAGTAGTTTCTTTATCAGTGTTATTAGAAAAATTTTCTGCTTTTACTATCAGCTACTTGTAGTTTTTTAAAGTGCAAAAGCAATCCCTAACTCACATTCCCTATCATCAAAATGAATCCAATGACTCCCGTGCAATGACGTATTCAGAGTATAATTTTGAAGAAAATAAAGAACTGGTATCAGATTCATTTCCTGTGTCTGCACATCCACTGAGGGAAGATATTGCATTAGACTGCACTGAGAAAGAAGAGTCCAGCTGTTTCATTACTAATATGCTTCATTACACATTCACAATACCAGTCTCAGTAGAGTATGTTAGTGTTGTTCTCAATATGATCCATTTCCCCCACATGGGCGAGCCGAGCAATATCCCTTTTGGCTGTCTATCAATAAAGAGCCCATCTGTTGAATTACACAGACTGACCTGTAATAGAGTCCACTCTCATTTTGCAGGCTTTCCTCCACAGCGCAGTAGATGGTGGTCTGAGCTCCTTCTGTCGGATTCTTGATGAAAAACACGAAGGGCACATAAAAAACCCTCTTCCACAGGGGCACTGTGGGCCAGAAGTGTCGGCCAAGCTCGGTGCGGATGACTCCAGGGTGGAGGCTATATGCTGTTACGCCAGTACCTGCAAAATGACAAGATGCAGGACACAAGTCATGAAATCCCATTCAATGTGTAACGACACATAGAAATATAGATATAAAACAGACGCAGCACCTTGCAGCCTGTTGGCCAGCTCTCTTGTAAAGAGGACATTAGCTAGTTTACTTTGAGCGTAGCTTCTCCAAGGCCGGTAATCTTTGTCCTGATTTATGTCATCAAAATGGATTTGACCTGTTGAGAGAAAGCACTTCATCCTTATTCACAGATGTGGTATTTAACATTAAATGAATATAAAAGGATCACATTCTTGAGAGATTTAAAAAAAACAACTAATTCTCTTTATATGAACTAGAGAAAAATGAGGAAAAACTGCACCTCTCTCATGCGCTAAGCTGGAGACATTCACAATGCGGCTCGGCGCTGACTTCTTCAGGAGATCTAACAGACAGTTCGTTAAAAGGAAGTGGCCCAGGTGGTTCACACCAAATTGCATTTCAAAGCCATCTTCAGTCTTCCATTTTGGACAGCTCATTATGCCTAAAGGTAGGAATATCAAAGGAAATGTATTTACTGCCTGTTAAAGTAAAGTAAAGTGTGCGTGTTAGTCCCCATAGGGAAATAGTTCCTCTGCATTTAACCCATTCACCCAGTGAAGCAGTGGGCAGCCGCCAGTGCAGCGCCCAGGGAGCAGTGTGTAGGGACGGTACCTCAGGGGTACCTCAGGGAAGCCATTCAGTGGAGTCGAACCCCCGACCTTCCGATCATGGGGCCACCACTCTACCTACTGAGCTATCCCTGCCTGTTAAACACGAATGCACAGTCACAAAGCTGGCATAATATGCTACATCACACCATAGTGGGTCTGATGTGATTTATACATCCACCTGCATTATTGATGAGAACATCCAGGCGCTCCTCACTTGCTAGGACATCTTTGGCAAGTTGGCGTATTGACTGTAGAGATGCCAAATCCAACTTTCTGACAATCACGCTGTCATTTCCGCTTCTCTTTTTCACTTCTTCTGCAGCTTTATTAGCTCTTTCCATGTCCCTACAAGCCAGAATAACCCTCGCGCCTGCAATGCGGGAGCAAAGTCATTACACCTGAACAGATATTAGATTATAAAATTGGATATATAAATCCAGGCAAATCACCAACCTCTTCTAGCCATGTCAACAGCAGTTTCTTTGCCAATCCCAGTGTTGGCTCCAGTGATCAGGACTGTCTTTCCATCTAAGCGGGCTTTGCTGTGACACACACCACCTGCCATCCACTTCTTCAAACCAAAAAGTCCCACTCCTGTAAAAATGTCCGCATAGTGACAGCTCTAAATCTCCACTGATCAGAGCCATCTTCACCTTCTAGAAAAGGAAACCCCCACCCACCCAAAACAAAACACAACTGCACAGATTCAACAGATGTTTTAGGACCAAGATTTTCTCAAATATAAATTTCTGACCCCTTCTTCCACACCCTGAAGAAAATACACTTGAATGAGTTTAACAGAAAAAGCCTTAAAGTGCCTTAAAATAATCTGAAAATAATTAAAACTGCTTTTTTCTTTGTCCAAATGTGCATAAATATTTTTTTAAAACATTGTCTCTCTATTTTACATAACTACAAATTGAACAAGTTTGGGTTTTGGGATGGTGATTGTGTAAAAAAGTGTTTTTTAACATCTAAACTAATAAAAACTCAAATAAAAGTCAACACTTTCAAACAATAAAAATACCGGCAAACCAGTAGACACACCTATAGCATCGATTTGAGAATCCTAGGTGACTTCCTTCTCAAATTAATAACATTTTCAGAAAACTATTCCGCTAACCTTTAGGTTGAGTTCACTGAGATTTAAACTCATCCGAGGTATTTAGTAGATGCACCTATGTTATTAATTTGAAGCATTTACAAAATAAACTGAAATGAGCAAACCTACTGGAAACGAACTGAAATTAAACAGAATTAAAAGCAAAAGTCAAAACGAAATAAAAAATAAAAACAAATTAGTAACTATAAAGCTATGATGGCAGACCGTGACCGTGAAAATATCAGGTTCCCTACCTTTTTTTGTAATAAATAAAACAAGCTAGCAAACCACCTAAAAAACAAATATAAACAATATAGGCACATCAAACGTGTGAAAGCTCATTCAAACTGCACTGTAAAGCACCAGGCACACCTAGAACAGTGTGTTAGTGAATATTTAGTTAAGATGTTAATAAGCTGTAGCTTAACAAATTCACTTTAACTATATTCTTATAAACGTGATGCAAAATCAAAGGCACTTGTCATTTTAACGAGCACGTGGGTCCGTGCGCAAAAGGCCTACATGCTTATGCAACGTCAAGTAAACGTCACAGAGTCTGTAAAAGAGCATGAGCTAAGACAGCCATCCGTGTGCTGTTTACAGTCTACACGTATGATCAGACCATTAATGTAAATCAGTGATTAGCTATTATATGAGTTACTTTGTTTTTCTTTTAACACACAACACCTGCTTTTGTGAAAAAGAGCCTGCGTCGGGTCACTTCATACCTGCTACTGTGACCAATGCAGTAGTTTTAGGATACTGGGAAACAAATGAGCGTGCAGCCGAGGAGGTCCGCATTGTCCCTGCTGACCCTGTTACTGTTTATGAATCTGCTTCTCTTAAAGTCCGGTTGGAGAAACGCCGGCGAACTTTCCTGCAAGCGAGACCTTACTGCCTGCTACAAAGTAAACCGCGTCAATAACAGCTACATAACAAGCGGAGCCTTTGCCCAGGAAGTACCGCCCATCGCCGCCCTACACGGGAATCCTATTGGTTCATTTTTGTCAATTGTGTTAATAATATTTTTATGCAATTTTTTAAAAGCTATTGCCAAAGAAAGCAGCTAGTAAAGTACATTTTGGCTATTTTAGAACTTTTTTTTTTTTTAGATTTTTAACAAATCTGAAAAAGTTCAATGCTATTAAACTAAAAACAAACAAACTCCAATATAACAAAATGCAATCAAATCAAACTGTAGTGGTATCTTTAGGATTTAGTAAAAACATCTTTGCTGAAACTATTATCATCTCACAACTTTCCATCTTCTCGTTTCATCTGCTCCCTCTAGAGGTCACCACAGTGGATCATCTGCCTCCATCTCACCCTGCCAGCATCCTCCTTTGACACCAACCTTCTACATATCTGTATCATAACAGGCTGTTAAACATCCTCTTCAATCTTGCTGCTATCTTTCTCTCTCACATCCCCTCAGACACTTGTCTCCACCGACACCCACCCTGCCCACACTCTCTTCTTCACCTCTCTTGTGCACTGTCCACTGCCACACCAGGTATTTAAACTCATCTACTTTCACTACTTCTGCTCCTTGCATCTTTACCTTTCCACCGGTCTCCCTCTCATTCACACGCATGTATTATGTCTTACTTGAACTTTATTTCTTTTTCTCAGTGTCATTTGTGAATATCATAGTCCATGGAGTCTCTTTCCTGAAAGGGTGTAAAAATCAAAAAGGGTGTAAATCAGACATGATGATCCACATCTTTCTATGGCAGTAATAAAATTTAATAATCAAATAAAAATAAATAAGGTGTAAATAAGATGTTTTTTTACACTGAATGTCAGCTGTTTTTTGTTTTGTTTTGTTTTTACAAAATACATTTTTGTTCTAAAATAAAGCCAACTGCATCTCTTAAAGCTGCATTTCCATTTCAGCTTTATTTAGGTATCATCAACTCATAAAATATGCAAGGTCAATGTATGCTGGGCTCAAGATATAATATGTGCAGTTATTATGCAGTGAAGCACAGCTGGTATGCAATAAAGCACTCGTGATTTAAGCTTAATAAACAGACAAATCTATCATCTACAAGGAATACTCATAAATTGTACAGCAGATGTCGCTGTAGGCTCATCAACGCTGTCTTGGTGTATTTTTACGTGATTCTAGCAGATGAGACACATACATCACATTTGCCCTTAAACTAGGCCTATATTTCATTTCTGTTTTAGTCACAGTTGCCAGTCAAGCACAACAAGACGTGTTTTGAAGCTATATAAAACACCTAAGAATCACATGATATCCCAAACTCCTACGAGCACATTAAGAACTGTCTGTGCTGTTGAGTGAGCAGACAAAAGAGGAAACCCACCAGAAGCACCGAGATGACAGTAATAACAGCATCAGCCTACACTATCAGATCTCAATTAAAGCCTAATCAGAGCTGCAGTGGAGCAACTGACTCTGGAATAAAATTTTACTGTGTCAGATCAATAAGGCGTGCTTTCTCTGAACTTTAAAGCATAACACAATGAGTCTAGACAGGGACAATATAGAGAGATTTGACCTTGTAATTCTTGTGACACCTGAGAGTGAATGTTTTCACTGTGGAGAGCTGCGGAGTGTCTGTAAATCGGGGAAGCACAGGCCACAAAGTACATGTGAAAACCTAGAGGTGTTCTGAAGTGGCTGTATAAAGTGAGAGGATTAGCTAACAGCCACCTGACTGCAGTGACCATGCTCTTTATTGCAGCCTCTCATTGAATATGCAGGTCAAAGTTTTGTATTTCAGGGACGACTGAATGACATTCTTATTGCACTGACCTTCTCGACATTGTTATTACACACAGTTTAAGCCATGCTGCTTGGGTAAATACATTATTGTTAAGGCTTTAGAGGTTTTTTCAACCAGCGGAGGCCTGCTATAATCTAAAGAGCACTTTAGAGGTGACCTGGCTGTCTCTTTTACTGGCTCACTACTAAGCCCGTCATGTGACTCCTCTGCAGACCTATCTCCGAGTATGGTAACCTTCCCCTGCTAAAATTAGAGGGCCCTCTGCTGAGACATTGTGGAATGTATCTTTCCTGTACCCATCCTGGAGACAAATCAGGACCTTAATAAATTTTCATAATGACTGTGTTTTTACCTTATGTCGTGACTGCTAAATTACCAATGATTTGTCATGAAAATTGTCAAATAGAAAATATCAAAGATAAATCTGTTATGATTGAGTTTGTTTAAAGCATTATATATCTCAGTCATTGCGATTTGTGTTAATGACGTAGTACTTTTGCCTTAAAACCAAGCAGATTTATTCTGATTTAGTTATTAGGACATTACATTGTTGCTGATTATTTCAGTGGGTTTCCTCTAATATGAAGATATGATCCCGCATGTATTCTACATAATAAATTACAGGCCTACATTAGCTAGATCTTAATGAATATTGGGTGACTGTAAATGCGTAGAGCTTCAGAAATTAATTTAATATATTTAGAAAACAAACAGGTAATATTTCTACAATGGCCATTAGATTGGAACTATTTTGTAACAACTGTAAAAAACTTTTAAACTCCGCATTAAGCTTTGAGTAAATGAGCCTGATGACTTTGTTTGGGTTATTATGGTTTGTACAGAAAAGAAAGCCCGCATATACTCAATATTTATCTTGCTTGCAGGCTGTGACCTTTGTGTGGATTACCCCGTATTTCACCTTGATTCAGTCGGGGTTATCCGGTCTCTATAACGAGCCTCTGTGGTGTTTAACCGCCGTTTTGTTGCGGTCCCTCCTCTGGGTATGTGTGACTCTGACGTAGCACTCAGCGTCTCCCGCCGGGGAGGGGAGAAGGGCGGTGCTGCTGCTGGTGACTATATTGCAGCGAGCCGCGGAGCGTTTGCCCCCCTCTTTAGCTCTGTTTCGTCGAGCGTTCACCGCAAAGTGTTTTCGGTCCCGGGAAGATATGGCTGGATACTTGAAAGTCCTCAGCTCCCTTTCGAGATCTGCTGGAGCTGCTTTTTCCAGAAACCCGGCGGTGCTTGCGCCGGCTGCAAATTGTCAGACTTTGCAACAAAGAAACTGTAAGTGGAGAGATAGCCGGTTCATCCCGAGCATCATTATGTTGACCGTTAACTGCAGCTTGACCTGGCCTGGTGTTAACGTGGCCTCTTTAAAAAAAAAAAAACAAACAAACATGTAGCTCTGGTTGCATTTAGGTGAGCTAATGCAATGTCAGCGTACAAAAAGCCGATATCAGGTTAGCCGGCTATTCTTACGGAGCTAACGAAGCCGTGCTAGCTGACTGTGCTGCTAGCCAAGTAGGATGCGGTTAATACCTTTAATGGTTTCCTGAGCGCAGGGCACCGATACTTTAAATGCCCACGACCGTTAAATGGCCGTTAACATGTTTGAGTTAACGGAGGCTGTTTAATGATAAAAAATGTAAACGTCGAAAAAAAGATGCGTGCAGCCTCAGCGAGACGACCCGTCTTTGTCTTCCTCCATTCAAACTTTGAGGAACCGTGGAGGACAATGTAAAGATATGCGGACTCGAATGAATTAAAACGGATAAACCCTGGCAGGCTTACATACCTTCTACTCTGACCTAGAATATAAGATTCATAATAAAAGTGGCGGTGCAGTGCAAAAGCTGGCAGTTGATGAATTAAGCGAATCTTCCGTTTTTAGCCGTGTTTGCGGATTTATTTATTTTTTTTCCAAAGCTGCTAATCTCTGAGGTGGATAATAAAATAACCACGAGAGGAACCCGGTTAAATTCTGTTGTCTTAAAGGATGAGCTGCCCGTCAGCCGTGAGATCGTCAGTGCGTGATTTACTTGGGTGAAACTTTTCCCAAGGTCAGTTACCGCATACGAGTCTCCGCTATGGAGAGCAATGGCTGCCGCCGCTGCTGCCGTATGGCGCTCTCTGTCCTACATTACGCTTCTCATCTGGGTTGCATCCAGGCTGCTGCTCATAAAGACCACATCTCACCCTGCTATTTAGACTGTAAAACACTGTGCGGCTTGTTACTTTTATGTTCCCTCTAAATGTTAACAAACAAGACTCTAAAAATAAATAAAAAGGGAGATCAGGCTGAATGGATTTGTGTTTTTGCGATTCGGAGAGGAATCCTGTTTTATGACGTGCGCTCTGCAGCAATCCCAGATTAAATGCGGCTGAAATTATAAGATATATAAGATAAAAGAACAAAAGCGCACTAGCATGACCAGCTACCGTTCATAAAATAGTGGGTCAGCTGAAGGACGCTGTGGCTCAGATCCGATTGAATCACCGGCATGTACCTCTTTGATGGTGGTTAGGGATCATACCCCAGGACTGTTTGTTACAGCAACGCCTCCAAACGCTCTTTATCACGAGGATTCTTATAAAGTGATCGCATGATTTGATAACACTTCCACAGTATGATAGAATCGTGTTTCGTTTTTCCGAGGTGTAAAACCTGCGTGACACACTAAAAGTGGAAGATTGACAGTGTTGATTGGTTTCTTTTGTTCCAGCCACAAATTGCATTGTGGTTTAGTAGCACCTCTTTGCTGGTATGCACTTTTTAAAATTTTAACAGCTCTTATAAAGCTGACCCAACATGTCGTTAAACTTGATTTGAATTTCACAATCCCGTGTAATGCTGCTTTATTTGTAAGCTTCAAAGCTTTTGCATTGACCACTGTTTACTATCGTGATAGTGAATGAAAAGTTCATTACCCGAGCCTCGTAAATGCCTTTTCCAAGTATTGGATTAAAACTTGATGTGGGCTAAGGCTTGTCCTACTGTGTTGAAAGTTAACCAGGCGGGACACCTAATCAATGCTTATTCTGTTGATCTCCTTAAGACACACATCATTTTGGATTGTCCTTGACTGCTTGACCGTAATTTCCACAAGGCACCTCACAGTTCAATTTAAAATTAGTACACTGTGCTAAAAATGAAGGGTATTTAAAAGCTCTAAATACTCCAGTCC